ATGAACACATATACACAAATAAGGTACCTGTAGGCCTATACATGAACACATATACACAAATAAGGTACCTGTAGGCCTATACATGAACACATATACACAAACAAGGTACCTGTAGGCCTATACATGAACACATATACACAAATAAGGTACCTGTAGGCCTATACATGAACTAAGGACAAACAGGGTCAGACTCGGAGGCGTTTAGGACAAGTTCACAACCAGCTGCGCAATAAGGACGCGGAGTGCCCTACTTTTCTACATGGCTGTTACAGTCTCCTCCCTCTGTTCTCTGTCCGCTACATGGCTGTTACAGTTTCCTCCCTCTGTTCTCTGTCCGCTATATACTACATGGCTGTTACAGTCTCCTCCCTCTGTTCTCTGTCAGCTACATGGCTGTTACAGTCTCCTCCCTCTGTTCTCTGGCCGCTACATGGCTGTTACAGTCTCCCCCCTCCACATCTCGCTTGTAGCCGGCTGCCGTGTCTCCGGAAGAGTTGGGACCATTAATATACACGTGACCGTCAGACAGCCAATCACGATGTAGGAAACATACAGCAGCTTGGTGCTGCGCGGGAACAGATAAGGGGCCAAGATTCCGCCGATCCTGGCTCCCAGAAACACGAAGCTGTAGGCCAAGGTGCGCACGTAGGTGGGGAACAACTCCACCACAAACGTGGCCATCAGGCTCAGGGCTTGGTCGGCGGAAGTGGAGATGACCAGGGACAGAATGGTGACCACTAGCCCCAGCGAGCTGACCGGCACCGTGAGGAGGAGGAGGAGAAGGAGGAGGGAGGTGAGGCAAGCCGTGGAGAAGTAGATCTGGACCGCCCACTTCCGGCCCAGTGTGGTGGCGAGGACGGGGAGGAGGGGCGTGGCCGGAAGCACGAAGAAGGAAAAGAGGATGAGCTTGAGGTACAGGTCTCCGAACAAGTTGGTCAGGCCGAAGCCGATGGAGTAAAAGATGAAGGCCATGATGAAGAAGGAGAAAAACCCCACCAGGCTCCTCCTCCTCAGGGGGGTTTGAAAAAGGTGGCAGATCGTGGACTTTCTCTCCAGCGCCCTCACCTCGCTCTCCCCCAGGGTGACCATGTCCCTCTCGTGGACCTCGCCTCTCCCGTTGTAGCGGCACACTTTGTTGGCCACGGCCACAGCGACCTTCACCCTCCCGTGCACGGCCAGCCAGCGCAGACTCTCGGGCACCCAGAGCGCGGTGAGCAGAGCGGTGAGCGACACGGCGGCCGTGGCCAGGTGGATGAGTCGCCAGTCTCGCAACAGGTACACCAGCACGCCGAACAGGATGTTGGCGCAGTGGAAGGCCGGGACACCCGCCAACAACACCCGCCCGCGGGCCGTCACGAACTCTTTGGGATACACCTGGTTGATGGCCAAGTTCCCGCCCACGCTGAGGCCGATGAAGAACCTGAGGACGGCGAACATGTGGAGGGAAGGAGAGAAGACAGCCACAGTGTTAGCCACGGCGCTCAGCCCCACCCACATGTACAGGCTCACACGACGGCCCTGCCTGTTGCCCAGCCAGCCACCCGCCACACACCCAACGGCCACCCCGGACATCTGGACAGAGATGAGGAGCGGGGTGAGCCATGCACGGCCACACACCAGTCGCCACTCACTCACCACCGTCCGTGCCCCGCCCCGGAACCGGATGTCGCAGCAAGATGACGCCAGCAGCTCACTGCGCTCTTCCTCCGTCACTGAGTCCGTGTCGCCGGCCGTGTCGTTCCGTGTGTCGCC